CCTGCACTGGTGCCTGAGGACTCCAGCGAGCACCGTGTGGACGCGCGTCCACCACTGGCTACGTTGATCATGAAGGGCGAGTTCCCGAACATGGGCAGTGACCCTCATGGGCTTCTCATGGATCCTGGGCCCCACGGCGCGCGTGGGCCCAGCAGGGGGCCTGACATGATGGTGTGTATGGAAAGCCTGCTCGACCGCCGTCACCCAAGTTGCGCACTGCCCCGTGAGGAGCTTTCCGCGAGCAGGTTCAAGCGAAAAGGCTACGGAGGAGGAAAGGAAAGGGGAGAGACTCGCCACGGCATCCGCTCCCGACCGAAAGCCCACCTGCTGTCGAGCCTCGGCCCACGTGGACGCAGGAATTTCAAACGGAGGGTCGGGCACATCTTCGACCACGGGGCACGAGGGGGCATCCTGCTGGAAGGGGTCGGGGCGATGCGACTGAACACTGCTACTACCTACGTTGCTGCTAACTAAGGGGTTACTTGAAACCGCCGAGGGGGGAAGGGGTTGGGCCTCGCATACCGACGAATTGACACTCACATTGACTGCGTCGAGCTTTTTGTCTCCGACGGCCGATGCGCCGACCGCGCCCGATCCATCAGACGACAGCTCGCTCCCAAGGCGTGAGTCAGTACAAAATTTAAACTCGTGGGCCCAGGGGTCCTCCTCCTCCTCAGGGAAGGCCAAAAAATCGTGGTCCAGATCAGGGTCCTGATCGGCCTCCTCAGCCACCTGGGAACGTGATGTCCCAAGTTGCACAGGGGGCTCCAAAACATCCCCGAAGGCCTCCTGAAAACCCGCGACCCTCTTGGCGTGAGCCTCCTGGCGCTTAACAGCCGCAACGGACCTGGCCTGGCTGGACTTGGATCCAGGAGTGGGCTCACACCGAGGCCTCGGGAGTTGGGGCAACTTCGGGGGCAGGGAAATCTCACGCGTCCTAAGGGTCTGGCCCGAAGCTCGTAGGCTCAAGGCTAGACCGAGATGAGGCTTCCACGGGACGCTTCTGACTACTTCTAGACTCTGGATGAATGAGGACGCGGCAGCGCTCATGTAAACAAAGTCGATCATTGTGTCTGGTCCTTTTTTTCTGGGCACATGTGCCCTCAACTCCAGCTGGGACACGCACATGGCCCCCCGTCACTCTGTGGAAGGCCGTGCGCTTGAGCTCGCCTGGCGTCATGTTGAAGTCGCCGATGACCAGCCACGGGACTCGGAGTGAACGGAGTAGTCCACCGAGTCGGTTGAATCTCTCGATGTTCCTGCCCGTCATCTTGATGGACGGCAGCGCGTACAGGGCGACCACCACGATCGCGTAGCTGTGCTGCTGCAGTATCACTGGGCAGAATCCGTCGTACGCCGGCTGCTTCGGCGCCTTGAGGTACTTGGCAGCAGCCCTCGCCTCGGGCAGCTGTTGGCTCTGCAAGTGCTTGCGGGAGAAAAACACCTCGCCTCCCTCGTTCGAGTGCGCCTCCTTGGCCTTAGACACTACCTTCGAGGTGCGGCGGGCCGAATTCATGATCATGCGAAGGTTGAGAGCCCGGCTTGCCTTGGTCCACTTCTTGACGTCCGACTCGCGGTGAATGTGAGTCTCAGTCATGATCCAGTGGTCGTAGGCTCCCACGTGCTCCTGCACGTACTTCCACACCTTGTCCGTTAGGCAGGTGACGTTCGAATAGAATAGCCTAGTGCATTCCCCTTCGTCACTGCCTGCCCCCATCGGTCTTGTGGGTCCGAGGGGCCCCCGTCCGACACCGTCAAGCTGAGGTATCTGCAGGCGCCCAAGCGGCCTCACCACTGGCGGTGCCCTTGCCCTTCGCCTTCGTCGCCGCCTGCTGCGCCAGGAACTTGGCCGCGGACAGCCTCTCCGCCTCTGCCTTAACGGCGTCTGAGGGGTCAGCTGCCGCCGCCGCGCCGCCGCCGCCGCCTGGGGTGGTCCCAGCCGCCGATGCCGCCGCCGCAGGAGGGGCCCCCTGGCCCCCGCCGCCAGCCGCCGCTGTGGCCGCCTCCTCAGGTGCGCCGTCAGTAGGCGCGCGTCTCTTCTTCTTCGCCCGCTCCTCGATGGTGTGCCGATGCTGCTGCATGGCCTCCAACCACTTCTGGATCTCGGCCTCCTTGCCCGTGAGGGTCTCCTTGGCGCCCTGCAACTGGCCTCGGAGCTCCTCTAGGGCCTTCTTCTCCGCGTCCGTGGCGTCCAGCGCCGCCAGGTTCGTGAAGAAGCTGTCGTCCCACTCCAGCGTGATGATCTTCTTCTCGCCGTCGGGGCTAGGCTTGGCCTCGGTGACCCCTTCGGCCTTAGCCAAGGCCGTGGCTGCTGCTCGCTTGGCCTCGGTGGTCTCGGCCAAGTGGATGGCTGCCGCCCTCTCTTTCGCCTCCGCAGCTGCCAGATTGCTGCGGAGGCGAATGACATTGCTAACCGCCTGGCTGTGGAGGTGCTCCGCGTTCCTCCACGCCCCATCGGCCCTGCGCAGGGCCTCCGCGGGCGTGATCCTGGCGGCCTCCCGCCCGCTCTCCTCCTTGGCGAGCTTGTCCAGCTGCGCCTGGAGGTCCACCTTGAGTGTGGAGTCGGTGGCGGCTGCCAGGGCCTGCTCCAGGAGGCTCTTCACTGACTTGCCCCCCTTGCCGCCCTTGCCGCCTCCGAGCCCGCTCCCCACAGGGCCCTTCAAGATGCCTGGGCGCCGTGGTTGCGGGCGCTCGCTCTCGCTGCCACTGGTGGCGTCGTAGAAGCCGTCGGCGTCGCTGTCGCCGTACTCGTCCACGAACTGAACTCGCCTCGGTTTCCTCTTCCTCTCGAATGGCTTGACCTCGTTGCCGCAACCGCTGCAGATGTTGTGGCGGCGGGCCAATACTCCGTTCCACTCGCACGTCTGACATTGCATGCATCTGGTCCACAGCTGGTGGACGCCCGCCATTGCGTCTGTCCCTGTGTTGGTCGGTGCCTCTTCTTGGCTGGCACGCAGAAAAGACACAGTCCCTCAAGCGCTGCTGGGAAGCCCAGGGACGAACTCAAGAGGGCAAGTGGGCCTCCTGGGGCCCCTCACCCGCTCGAGCCCAAGTTGCTTGAGGGAGGAGGGGGAGGAGGAGGTACAGGAGAAGGAGGAGGAGGGGGAGGAGGAGGAGGAGGGGGAGGAGGGGGAGGAGAAGGAGGAATCGGAGGAGGAGGAGGACAAGGAGGAGGAGGAGGAGGAGGAGGAGGAGGACACTCTTTGAAAACGCCTCGGCCTTCGACCTTCGAGGAGGCAGAGCGCCGCGAGAGCGCGCACGATACCCGCTGCTGGCGTGACGGGGGCGGAGGCGGGCGCCTCGAGCTGCCGTGCCCCGGTGACCCCCCTGAAAAATTATACGTGCAACCAGGGGTGAAGGTTCCTTCCTACGTCGAAAAAACAACGAACGACATATGTGCAACCACGCATGAAGGTTGTCGAACACCGAAATGAGTACAACCAGGGTGATGGTCTCGTGGCAAGGAAAAACCCGCACCCCAGGTTGCACTCGCAGCTGGGGTTGAACGTGTTTGGCCCTCGTCGGCCCGCAGCTCTGGGTCCAGGAGCCACTCTTCAGGGTGTAAGTCGGGCCTGTCCCTCTGCAGGGAGAACATCCGCGAGTAACAGAACATAGTCCGGTGGCGATTGTCAATTTTTTTGTGGTGCTGATGTTGAACATGTTTTGGGACTACGTTTTACTTCTCGTCCAAGGTCCGCCTGCAGGGGGACATGCCCGACCTAAGGACAGCGTGCACGGCACCCCATCGAGGGACAAAGCGCCACTCGCCGCCCCTGCCCGCCAGATGACATCTCCCTTGCGAGCCCACATCGTACTCCTAAGAGCGTACGTGCACGCTATACGTTACGTTTCCATGTTGCAGGCGGACGTGCGCGCTGAACGTTTTTACGTTGGCGAGGGTGTCTTTTCGGCGGCGAGCGAGGGGGGAAAAGTGAGAAGGACAAGGCCCTTTCAGAAGGCGGCGGGACTTTTCGGAAGCCCTCGCGCCTTCCCAGAGCTTTTTGCCAGCGTCTTCGGCGAATGCTTAGACAACGTTTCAGAAGGCCAGGGGACTCCCGTGCCTTCTGAGAAGGCCCGCCCCTTTCTCACTTCCCCCCAGGCTCGCCGCTGGGTATTGTCCGGGTGTGAGGTTCATGTGCGGCAGTTTTGCGTCGTGTCGACGGGCGGCGGCCCCGCCGCCGCCGTTCAACGACGTTCATCACCGGCGACCCAGAATCGGTCGATGTTGGACGATCTGACGTTTCAGAAACGGCCGATCGTCCAAGGTTGTAAGGGCATCAATCAGGGGACGAGGGGGGAGGGAGGAGGAAGGAGGTGGACCTGTACAAACATCAGTTTCCCATGAGTTGGCTCTGTTCTCTGATGGTCTAACAGGGTGTTGGGCGCGGGTGAACCTGAAGCCGCTGATTCGCAACACTGGCTGCACGAGGCGTTGCTCAGCGAGGATTGCAGAGTCTGCCCTGCTGCCCTGGCCGAGTCCTCGGCATCAGTTGCTTCCTCCTCTCCACCCCCACCTTCTCATCCTTAACCTCCTCCTCCTCCTCCTCCTCCTATGACTAATTACTATTAGCACTGTTACTATTACTTTTACTACGACGACTACTACTACTCATACTACTAATACTACTACTACTTCTTCTACTACTATTACTACTACTACTACTACTACTACTACTACTACTACTACTACTACTACTACTACTACTACTACTACTAGTACTACTACTACTACTGCTGCTGCTGCTGCTGCTACTACTACTACTATTGTTGAAGCTACTACTACTACTACTACTACTACTACTACTACTACTACTCGATCGCCTCCTCCTCCTTCTCCTGAGGTCCTCCTCCTCCTCCTCCTCCTCCTCCTCCTCACTCCTCCTCCCCCTCCTGCCCCCCCCCTCCGTTTGCCCTGCTGCCCTCGAGGCGTGCAGCGTCTGCCCGCGAGCGCGGCCGCACCTCTGCGACGACCTCCCCCCCTCCCCGCTCGTCCGCGGCAGGCCTCCAGCGCGCGCCGCCGCGCCCCGCCTGCCGCCGTCAAGGTGGAGGTCGGCAAGGGCGCCGCGGACGCGCACGACGGAAGCGGCAGCCTGGGAGGGGGGCCGAACGACCCCTGCCATTCCTCCTCCCTCCCTGCCTCCCTCCTCCTCCTCCTCCTCCTCCTCCTCCTCCTCCTCCTCCCTCCCTCCTCCTCCTCCTCCTCCTCCTCCTTCCTCCTCCCTCTCTCCTCCCTCTCTCCTCCTCCTCCTCCTTCTCCTCCTCCTCCTTCTCTTGGGCAAGGGGGGGGTGCCACAAGGGGGGGGGTCGGTCCGCTGGCGCATCGAGCCGCGGAACAACGATATGCAGAACGAGGTCTCCGGCCGCCACCAGCACCCGAGAGGTGTCGACACTCGGGGCGCGCGGGGGGCATCGTTTTTTTCGGAAATTTGATACACCAGCGGATCGAGAGCGGCCCTCCGCCACGCCACGGTGGCCTCTGCTGCGGGCCCACGGGGCTCCCGCCAGCAGTGGCCGGCGCGCTCGGGGGGTCGCATTTGATGAGCCTGCTTTCCACCACCACCACAATAAGGTTGGTGGGGGGAAGGAGGAGGAGGAGGAGGAGGAGGAGGAGGAGGAGGAGGAGGAGGAGAAGGACGAGGAGGACCCCCTATGGAAGGGAGGCCGAACGAACCCAGTCCCGGACCTCCCCTTCTTCAGGAGGGGCATGTAAACACACAGGCGCTGCTACCAGCGTCTGCTCCTGGCTGGAAGTATGGACACAGAGGCCGGCAGCGGAAGGGGAAGGCGAGAGATCAGAAAATGTTAAGAATAAGACCATTGGGACCTCATTTCTTCTAGGGGGACAGGCAAGGACATAAACATTAAAACTCAGAGTAACGCGCGGATTTCTCGTATCGGCGCTTGACTGCCCTCCCTGGCGCGCTGGCAGGCGGAGCGCGCCAGGGGCGGCGTTGGACGCCCCGGCAGGGGGCCCCAGGGCCGATCCGAGGAATCCGCGCGGACCTACGCGTCGCGAAAAGATTACGAAGGAGGGCTTTCGGCAAGTTTCTGCCGGTGGGTCTCTGGCCGGGCCCTGGGGCCGTCAAAAACCGACTCGGGATGAACAGTTTGTCCTGGAGAAGGCGTCTAGTAGACCTCCGCAGGTCCACGTTGTACAAATAGCAGAATCAGCGCTGTAAGTACAGCAACTAGCTCCTACGTCTACCACTGTACACGACAATCGAGATTGCTCTAAGACACGGTGGGGGGGGCATTCTTCGTCGAGTTTTGGGCTCCCTGAGATGCCACAGGGCTCCTGTGAGCACCTAGGGCGATTGGTGGATAGGGAACTTCCGTGGGCCACCTGGTGACCGGCCAGTTTCTCATTTTCTGTGTTCTTTCTGCCTGCACTGCTTTTCCTCTTGATCCTGAGACGATATGGTGATCGAAGCGCCGCCGATCCTTCAGGGTTGATCAATCCACGCGAAGCCGTTGCTACTCCACCGTCCACCTCCCCGCTTCGACGCTTTTGTTATCCGTGGCCCACCCCCGCGGCCGACTTTGCGCTCCAGGCATTTGTCCACCAGGGTCGCAACGGGACTCCGAGGGCCCAAGCTGAGAACAAGATCCCAAACGGTGCTTTCACTCAGGGTTCTCTTACTTGTTCGTCTACGGGAGTTGGGCCTGCGGGTCGATCTGGCGGCTATGTTGTCGCCGTCGCCGCCCCGTCACTGCCTCGTCACTGCCCGTCGTCTGGGCCTGCGGTTGGTCTGGCGGCTATTTTGACGACGTCGCCGCCTCGTCCGCCGCCCGTCGTCTGGGCCTGCGTGTCGTTCTGGCGGCTACATTGTCGCCGTCGCCGCCATTGCGCCGCCCCTGTCGCCGCCTCTGCGCCGCCCCCGTCGCCGCCTCGCATAGATTGGCGCCGCATCAATTGCACCGCACAGATTGCGCCGCATAGGTTGCACTGCATTAGGTTGCGCCACATTAGATGGTACCACCTAAATTGCACCTCATAGGGTGCAAGTCATGGGCCGCAGCCCATTGATTGCGCAACTTGGATTGCACCACGTATGTTGCAATACATAGCGCACACCTCATAGATTGCGCAACAGAGATCGCACGGCATAGATCACACCACATAGATCGCACCACATAGATCGCACCACGGACATCGCTCCTCAAAGACTGCACCGCGTAGATTGCACCACATTGTTCGCGCCACGTATATTGCACAACCAAGACTGCACAACAACGATTGCACCACATAAGTTGTACAACTTAGCTCGCACTACATATGCTGTACAACATGGATCGCTCAACATAGGCCGAACCACGTATATTGCACCATCCATATTGCACCTTAGAAGTTGCAACACATGGGCCGCACAATCTATCTTGCTCCCCGTCGATTGCACCACATATGCTGCTGGAACAATTTGTTTGGGGCCCACGGTGGCTAACATATGAATCAACAAATGCTGCATCGATGTCTTTTTAACGAAGGATGTCTGGGCCGTTCGCCTTAGCAGTCAATCCCCGGGGCCAGGAACATCCCCCGAATCTTCACCTCGAGGAGGACGAGGAGGAGGCGGAGGAGGAGGAGGAGGAGGAGGAGGAGGAGGAGGAGGAGAGGGGGAGGGGGAGGGGAGGGAGGGGGGAGGAGGACGGGCGGCGGGGCGAACGAGGAGGGGAGGAGCAGGGCGGCGACGGCGGCGGCGACGGCGGCGTCGACCGCGGCGGCCTCGGCGGCGGCGTCCGCCCCGCGCCGAGGCAGCAGCACCGGCCCCGGGACGCCGCGCCGGGGGCCTTCCGTCAGCTGCTCGACGAGCGACGGGTCGGGCAGCGAGGGGCAGGCCCGCCGCCCTTCGCCGTCGCCGCCGCCGACCTTCGCCGCCGTCGTCGCAGTCGCCGCCGCCGCCCTTCGCCGCCGCCGCCCTTCGCCGTCGCAGTCGCCATCGCCGCCGCCGCCGTCGCAGTCGCCATCGCCGCCGCCGTCGTTGCCGTCGCCGCCGCCGTCGCCTTCGCGATCGCCGCCGAGGTCGTCGTCCTCGTCGTCGCCGCCGCCGCGGTCGCTGCCGTCGAACAACTGGCCAGGACGGACCCCGATGGGCACACGGGGGCCGACTCGGAACGGACTTTCGTCGTACGGCTGCGTCGCCGTACCGTCGCCGCTGCCGTCGCTGTCATGGCCGTACTCATTCCCTCCCTCCGCCACGTCGTGACCGTCACGAATCGCCCAGGCCTCTCGTCTTTTCTCATGCCTGTTCTCCCTGCCTCCATCCCCCCGTCTTTGCTTGCCTCCTCGCTGCCTCCACCACATAGCTTGAACCCATGATTCCACCACACAGCGAGGCATTGGCCTGCGCATGCAAAGCTGCGAACTACCTTGACAATTCAGCTCCTGTCTTTTAGTCGTGCACGCTTCGCGTGCTGCCTCCCCTGGGAAGGATCGGAGAGCTAGATGTAGTGGCCGCTCTTAGAGTATAATGCGCTGCTGTTTGTGGTCCACGCTGCCCTCGCGGACCTCCCTGGGGCTGCCTTCGTGAAACTGGTCTTTCGATATTCGACCTGCGCTCCTTCTCTCGCTGGGATCCTCGACCCCCAGATTTGCGATCGTCCTCGATCTCGATCCCCTCCTGCTCATCCTCCTCATCCTGCACCTCCTCCTTCTCCCCATCCTCCTCGATGCGGTCCACCATCCTTGGTTCGACCCCCGATCTGCGATCCTCCTCGATCCCACCCTCCTCCTTGATTCGATCCTCCTCCTTGATGCGGTGCTCCTCCCTGGTTCGGCCCCCGATCTGCGATCCTCCTCGAGCACTATTCTCCTCGCGTCCTCCTCGAAATGATCCTCCTCCTCGCTGCGATCCCCCTTCTTGATGCGAGCTCCGATCTGCGATCCTCGTCGATGTCGATCCTCCTCCTGAATTCGATCCTCCTCCTCGATGCGGTCCCGCTCCTCGATTCCACCCTCGGTCCGCGACCCCTCTTCCCGATCCAGGCCTCCACCCTCCGACCCCGGGACCGTCAGAGGACGGCTTGGGATAAGAAGTGCGCCCTGGGGGGAAGGAGTCCAGTACTGTTGGGCCGCTGAGGAAGGAACCCTTTTCGTTGGGCAGTGCCTCAGTGTTTTTTACAATTTGTGTCAGGTTTCCCTGAGGTCTGCGATGGGACATCGAAGCTTAACGAGTGGAGAACAGAACAAGAGGCCTCATTCCTTGGGACAGCGTTTCGACTGTACTCGCTGGGCCCACGCCGGCAGCAAAAGCTCACGACGTCGGAGGGCAGTGAGGCGGGACGCGGTTGTGGTTTTTGGGGGGCCCCCCACCCCGCAGCCTCTGGAGGCAAAGGGCAGGGTCGAGGAGGAGGAGGAGAAGGAGGACGAGGGGGAGGAGGTTCGAGAACCGAGGAGGAGGTTCGAGAACCGAGGAGGAGGTTCGAGGAGGAGGTTCGAGGAGGAGGGGAATGAGGAGGGGTAGGGGGAGCAGACTCGAGAATCGAGGAGCAGGTTCGAGAAGGATGTTGCTTGGATGTTGCCTGCCTGATCTGCGCCTTAAGAAGCACGGGTGCGGAGCCGACGAACATCAAGACCCCCCTCGCCTGAGGTCTTGAGGGGGCCTCCTGCAAGACGGCGCGCAGCTGTAACATCAACCACTGCGCTCCGCCCCCCCCCCCCCCCCGGCGGTGGCGTTGGCGCTTCGCGCTCTCTGGAGCACTGGCCGCCGCCTCGGGGGCCTCTGGCCCCAGCCCCGGCGGGGGAGTGGGCCGCAGTGGGTTTGTGAACACCGGGGGGAGGAGAGGAGAGGGGAGAGGGGGAGGAGAAGAGGAGCCAGGAGGAAGGAGGAGGTGAGGGGCACGCACAGTCCCCCCGCGGCCTACCCCCCCCTTCCCTGGGAGGGATGCACCCCAAGCCCTGGAAGAGGGCCCCGCCTCCGCCGGTCCTGGGGTCGGTTGCGAGGAGGTTCGAGCATCGAGGAGGAGGTTCGAGGAGGAGGAGGAGGAGGAGGAGGAGGAGGAGGAGGAGGAGGTTCTCATGAATCGAGGAGGAAGAGGTTTGAGGAGGAGGAGGAGGAGGAGGATAAGTTGCCTCGATACCCACGTTTTGATACGCAACACGTACCGTGCTCAAAACTTCCGTGTCAATACGTTGCGCTTTGGCTCAACGTATTGGCCGACGTTTTGGCGAACGTATCGCGTATGCGTGTTGAGCTCCGTATCAACACCGTACGTATTGCGTGTGGCGTATCGGGGCAGCTAAGTGAGGAGGAGGAGGAGGTGGAGGAGGAGGAGGTGGAGGAGGAGGAGGTGGAGGAGGAGGAGGAGGAAGAGAAGGAGGTGGAGGTGGAGATGGAGGTGGAGGAGGTTGGTGGTTCACTCCCTGGGCGGCCTGGCCTCCGCGCGCGCGCCCAGGGCCAGGGGCCGTGGGCCGCGAAGCCGAGGAGGGCCCCCGGCTGCGGCAAGGGCGCTGGCGGCAAGGGCGCGAGCCAAGGCCTCGGGGCGGGGGGGGGATCCAGCAGCAGGGGCAACGCCGAGGGGGGGGAGGCGACGAGGGGGGCGAACAGCCCAGGGGGGAGCAATACATGTATCCAGGGGCGCCGATGGTCCATGCCTGCGGCGAGGCTCCCTGGCGAATGCGTGTCATGCCCTCCCTTGGGCTATTCGCCCTTTTCGTCGCCGCCGACGGGGCGGGTGAGGATCGAGCAAGGGCAGCGCGCGGGGGGGGTTGGGGGGAGAGTCCCGAATCATCAGGCGTAACTCGGGTCAGGGCTGCCTCGGGTTCGCTTTTTTGTCGGGAAGCCGAGCCCGAGTTGCCTCGGGCCCGAGCTACACCGGATATTCGGGCGTCCAGGGCCCCGAATCATCAGGGGTAACTCGGGTCAGGGCTACCTCGGGTTCGTTTTTCGGGAAGCCGATCCCGAGTTGCCCAAGGCCCGAGCTACCTCGGATGATTCGGGCGTCCAGGGCCCTGAATCATCAGGGGTAACTCGGGTCAGGGCTACCTCGGGTTCGTTTTTCGGGAATCCAAGCCCGAGTTACCCCGGGCCCGAGTTACCCCGGATACTTCAGTCGCCCAACAACGCCAAGGGGCGGGGATGCACGGGGCTCAGTTCTTCTAGGCCTCCCAGAGGGGGTCCGAGAAGATGGGGTCGGAGGATCGCGCCGCAGCCCCGATGCATCGGCGATGCGACTCGATGCGGGGCCCAATCTCCCCGCCCGTGTCGCCGATGCATCGCCAAGGTCGCCGATGCATCGGCGATGCGGCCAGATCCTCCGACCCCATCTACTCGGACCCAGCAGAGACAACGCGAGGGGTCGACAAGTGGCGAAGCGTCCCAGCTTGCGTTTAGGTGCACTAGAGAATATTGAAGAGCTCACTGCGGTCTGCGCATCTAAGAGCATGGTTGTTGTTCTAAGAACATTATCTGCTCCTAAGAACATGTCGCTTTTCCCGCCTCCGCGACGATATACTCCCTCCAACTCTTCCTTCTCCTGCTTCTCCTCTCCACCAATCGCTCCTCCTCCTCGTTCTCGTCCTCTTCCTCTTCATCTTCCATTCTTCCCTCCTCGCCCTCCACCTCCTCTCCCACATCCCTCCTCCCTCTCCTCCACTTCCACATCTCCCTCCTCCTCTCCCGCATCTCCATCCTCCTCGGCCATCTCCTGTCGCCACCCCTCCCTCCTCCACCAGCTCCTCGTCCACCTCTTCTCCTCCGCTTCCCATTTTCCCTTTCCTGGCCGAGCAGGGCTACAGTGCTTGTGGAAGCAGAACAACAGCACTGCCTAAGAGCGCCACTAAGCCTCCCATACCACTCTGCTTGCACATCCCCCAGCGATGCCCCTCTTAGCTCCTGAGGGCCCAGCACAGTCTGGCGGACTCTGCCCCTCGAGCCCTCCGCGGGCTCCAGGGACATACGCCGCGAGCACTTTGGACCGCCGTCCGGAGGGTCTGCCCGTTCGCTGGAGCAGCCGCCGAGCGATCGCATGGCCGCCACAGCGCCGACCCGATCCGACTCTTCCTGGCCCTGGCATCGCTCGGACGTGTGCATTTTCTCCTTCGGCGAGGACCATCGAGGAGCATCCTCGATCATTTGGCGAAAAAACCACGCACGGAACCGAAAACAAACACAGGGAATGGACGTCCGAGCGATGCCAGGTTGAGTACAATGCCGAGCAACACATGTTGTCTGAAACCGGCAGCGGCCGCTGTGGGGCAGGCCGGTTTCTGTCTTCCAAGAACGACGTCCGCGGCGGCGCGGACAGCAAGTCGTGTTCAAAACGAATCGGAACTGCTGTTGGGCATTGTACCCATTCTTTCCGTTCCAAGTTCGATCGTCCCGACAAGTGGCCATGCTAGAGCTCGTCTGGAAAATCCTAGTCCACCCGATCCGACTCTTCCTGGCCACGCTCGTCCGATTGGCCATGCTGCGGGCAATGATTATATCCACATCCAGTGCGTCTTGGAGTTCCGTCCCTTCCCGAGAAACATGAGGCACACTGGATATGGATTAAACTCTGGC